GAATCCTTCCTGTGGAAAAATGTTTTTATTTTGAATTCTTTAAAAAAAATTAGACTTTAAAAAGGGATACTTCTCTTAAGCAATATCACTTCTCTCATCCCCAGCATTGCCATGGACCATGCCATTTCCTAGTAAACTGCTGTTTTTCCTTGCATAAAAAGTGCCTGGCATTTGATTTTGAAGCAGGCCTAGAATTTGCTGGGGAGCTCACATGGCTTGGGGAGGTCTTCTTATAGCAGGTTCAGCTGCAGGGGGGAGGTCCCAAGTGAACGGTTCAAGAGTGGGGGGCGACAGCCAGAGATTTCTTGCTGCCCTTCCTCAAACAGAGGCAAGATGTGGTCCACAACATCTGGTACCGCAGAGGGGGGAAGAGGAGATGGAGGGTCTGGGAGCACTGGGGTGCAGGGAGTGGAGGAACAAGGGTGCTGGGCAGAGAAGTAAGGCTGAAGAAAGCAAGCTGGCATGGGAAAGCTGGGACGCAGCGCAGCTGGGACGTTGCCCAGGGATGGAGCATGGCATGGCTGGGTGGGCTGTATGCTATATACAGGACTGACCAGATGATGGGGGCTGTTCCTACTGTTGAAAGGGGTGGCTGTCTCTCATTGCAGCCCATGGCACACCAGACCCAGAGGAGGGATGTACAGGAAAGGTCTTACCAGAGGGGCTAGGCTGGGGGTCTTCTGAGAGAGCCAGGATGGCTTCCAAGCCATCGTCTTCTTCTCATGAGCACCATTCTTACAACCTGAGCTGTCATCTGAGGAAACCAGCACATTCTGCTCCTTGAACTGGCTCTGCTTGTTTTTCCTTTTCTAGCTCTCGGATCTGGCTGGCTTGGAGGGGAAGTCACCTACAGAGAAAACAAAAGATAAGTCACGAGGAGAGGAAGAAACAGGAGCAGCAACTCCTGTTGCTACATTGCTGTCCTGCTCCAAGTGACAGGAGGGATTTTCGTAATGGATCATTAAGACATCCAGCTTCCCACCCTGACCTCGACTTAGGAGAGCCTTCACCGATTCACCACCTGGATCCTTCAACCTCAACTGAACCCTGGAATTTTCACATAAACACAGACATTGTACTGCACAGCTCTATCCCTTTCTTCCAAAGGCACAATTAAAGATAGCATTTTAAGATTTGAAGTTAGGCTGCTACTCTAAGACAGGCACACCATTTGCATTTAAAAAACCACAAGGCAACTGAAGTCCAAGTTAACTGTCAAATGCATTATTTGAATGCTTGCTGAGAATCATCAGTACTAATGAGGCAACACTAGTTTAAGCATTATTTCTGCAAATATCAATGATTAATTTAAATAACTCCCTGTCTCACCTATTTCTTAAGCTAGGGAGTTTGGCCAAGACCACAGCTGTTTGGAAGTCAATGGGAAACTCATTTGAAATAATTCCTGCATTTCACCTCAAATACTGCGTCCATTTTTGTTCACATTTGAAGAAGGACTCAAGAGAAACTGTAACAGGTTCAGGGAAGGGCAATGAGTCTTGAAGGAATTGGGAATTGAGGAAGTTTAGCCTTGAGAGGTTTGAAGGAAATATGAGAGTGCTCTTCAAATATATGAAAGGAGGACACGTGGAAGGTGCAGACCTGTTCTTTGTGATTCTACAGTTCAGAATACGTTATGATGGATTTAAACTAAAGGAAGGCACATTCAAATTGAATGTCAGAAAAAAAAATGCAAAGAATAGTTTGAGAGTGCAACCAATAACCCAGAGAGCTGGTAGCCTCAAGCAGAAACTAGGTAAGGGACATCTTAATTTAGATTTCTGCAGGGAAGAGAGCACTGTCCAGAGTGACTTCTTCCAGCTCTGTGATTTTATGGGTTACAGAAAACAGAACACTTCTTTCTTCAACAACAGTGAGATTCTTCTTCCTATTGTTTTTGTTTGCACAGTGCAGTTGAGTTCGTTAATGAAATGAATCTTAATTGATAAAATTAGATGGAGCAGAGAGCTCTGTGGGTACCAAGGGATGTATCAGCAAGCACACTATGGTCTCCAGCCACCACAGGCCTTAGGGACTCATTCTCAGATTCTTTCCACTCTGTGAAACATGTATGGGAGAGAGGTTGAAAGAGAGAGGGATGCACATCCAAGCTAAACACCTCAAGGGACCATGATGGTATTCACTCCTTCTCCCTCTTTTCACCTTGATCTTGGGAAAGAGGCTGGTTGCTTCGGGCTCTTTGATTTTGGAAGTACGACCTGTATGGAGATAGCAGGAACCTTTGGCACATCTGGGCCATGTAGTTCTGCTCCTCCTCTGACAAAGCCTCTTTGGTCAGTCCAACCAGCTTGATTCTGTCCTTAGCAGCTGCAGCAGCAAGTGGGATGCTGGTGGAGAAAACGTCAACTTGCTCGCTCTGCAGAATGGCTTCTTCCAGCGCAGTGGCTGCTGGAAGGTGAAGAGACGAAAATGCAAATCTTGCTTCTCTGAACCCCCACCCCACCCCCAGGCCCAAATTCAACTGAAGTGGGCTGGCCTACAAAGCTGAGCCATGGCATGTAAAAGACAAATGAGAAACAGTTTGTATTGATTGAAATGCACTCAGGAGTTACTCCATCAAGAATGCCTTCACAGGAACAATATTAGAAAAAGAGGACAGGTTCGAGACTCCAGGGTTTGGGGCATCAAATTTCCCTTCTCTCTGCAGGCAGAGGCCAGGTGGGCTTTTTCCGGTTTCAGGATTTCCCTGACATGAAAGAGCACTTGCTTTGAACTGTCGCTCCCAGGAAGATATGGGCTAGTGACTGCAAGTCCTCCACAGGATCCCTCCCCAAAGTGACAGAAAGGAGCCAATATGACCTAAGCAGCCCTCTAGCACAGCCATTTCCCACGTAATTCATAGCATGAGCTGAGGGTGATCCAAGACCTTAGAAATTATCATCACAGGTTTTTTGGGGGGGGGGGCACTTTAAAACATTGTGTGAAAGGGGG